ACACATCATCACGCTGAAAAGACAGAGATCCAACCATTCCAGCTTTCATTGCTTCAATGGTACTAGCACTGTGATAAGTTTTGCTTTGCTTATTAATTAGTAATGTTTTGCGATGTTGATGTTTTCGGCGCGTGTAGTTCATTTATTTTGGCCATGGATAACACTTTTAGAACCAGCTGTTGTCACTCATTCCCGAGGTCGAGAGCTGTTCTTCACTATCCTGAGCTGGGGAATGAATTTCGGATGGACAGGTATGAAGTAGTCCGTCGCTTGAGTAAGTATATATGGATAAATCATGAATATGACAAAAATGTGGATTCCGAAACTGATGATTCACTGGCAAAAGAAAGACTAGCTTCTTCAGTAGCAAACAAAGTTTCTCAATTTCGCCGAGACGGAGACATAGAATTCGGACCTTCGAGCCGATTGTCATTCGTACACTTTGTCTATGTGAATCACGGTGGTCGTTCACATGACTTGCATATCCGAACGAATGCTGGATGTGTTAATGCCCGTGAAGCATGACTGTTGGCATCTGGTAACATCGTAGCAATCCGCAGATCCAGAAGGATGCGCAGAACATGTTTATTCACAATGCACTAATTATAAGGTTGCTGGATTTCATCAGGTAGGCGCAGTCCCCGAAACCAAATTGCACGAAATTAGTGCATTACGCATATACATTTATCGCAATATCCCGAATATCGTACTAACTAAACCAAGAGGCGGCCCGGTGCTGTACAATCAGTTGCTTGGAAACATCACAAACGAGGGATTCAGCTGGGTTTCAGGTGAGTCTTACACAAAACCCAATTAGTTCGCAAATGAGTGTATTTCGCTAATGATGTGCAGGACAGCTTTCATCCAAGAGTCCTGGATAATCCTGGGATGACGTGGCTGGTTGACAGATACTTGCAAAATGCATCTTCATTGGCAAATATCGGGCTCTCTGCCCGGTTGCGGTTATCTAAAACAACCGCCTTCTACCGGCAGGTGACCTTCCGTATGTTGTTTTTGTTATCCCTGTTAAGGAAATAATCTTTTTACTCTATGCCTTAAGTTTGTGGAAGTTCCGTCAATAGCTTACATATATTGCGTTCCAGGGTCATGAGAATGGGACTAACTTCTGTTGTGCAAGTTATTAGCAGCCGATTATTGAGCATCGCGTTTACGAAAACAACTATCCGTATTAGCAGTGTTCCTTATTATGCATTATCTGATGACCTGTTAATTGGATCACGTGATTCTATTTCCATTTCTAACCCAACTTGGTCTCTCAAGAGACTACATTCAAGCAAATCTAGCCAACATTCTGGTACTTGGTTGAACAAACAGTTGCGAAGGAAACGTCCGTTAATAGGGCCCGTCGACACTTTATGTGTGCATCGATTGTCCGTGCGATTGAAAAACTCTATGTTATATCATGTTTCCAGTCTACCGATATTTTTTTGAACGGAATGTGGTGGAACTAATTTCCACCTAAAAATGCCACGAGTATTGGTAGATCAGTTGCCATAGTTTCGTTTCGGCTTCAGTGTAATGAAAGTGAGAGCTCTCCATTTCTTTTGACCGACAGATTGGTCCAACTATGGCGTTTGTTCATGTCATGTGATTTGTTAGAGAAAAATGGACGAGGTCGCCATGCATAAAAATCGAATAAATTCATGTGAACGAGTGATGAACGTCTACGAGGTACTTTCTCCCTGACCTCTCTCGTTTAGTTCACTGATTGTTTAGAAAATGAGGTATCGATCGAAACTTTCTATTTGGTGTGTGCACCAATGACTTTGACAAAGGTTGGCATGATTCTTCAAACTGTTAAGTTGCATTCTGAGTCATCTTGCTTGCACAGAATAGATTATCTATAATTATTAGTCATTCCGCAAGTTACTAATGCTGGAGAACGTTTTTAGGTAATACCCCGCAAAACAGTATGGGAAGAGAAAATAATTATAGAAAAAGGTCCTTTGGAACATGAAGCGCATCACTCTAAAATGTCTTTCCATTAGCGTCATGGATACTGTTGTTCCATGTGGGAATTTTCGCGTCCCAAGATGGAGCGTTCTTGACTTGATCTGGTCGGGAGCAGCTTGTTGGTGCCAATTTTTGTGGTTACAGCGATCACAAGTCCACAGGAACTACACTAGTAGCTGACCCACAGGATATTCAGGGACCAGAAGTACACTCAGTATAGCTCAGATCTCTGAAATACCAAAAGCTCGTATACGGTAGTTTGCCGTATTCGCAGAAAATTAACGATGTTGTCGTATTAGGCTGTCAGGAAGGTGAGATTCCTGAAAATAATTCCAGAATGCCGGAAACCTCTTGAGAGACCCAAACCCCACCAAAATCACAGTACGAGAGCCAGCAAGTATCCAGGCCAGAAAAGCCCGCTTCCGATCAAACACCCAAACATTCAATTCATTCAACTGCCGACAAGTGTTCAGGCATGGCGCAGAAGCATGGTTGACGATGATGAATGTTCACCAATCAGACAATCAGACAGCCCTGAAAATTCTACACTCGCTTGTTCGCAATACGGTTGTTGTGTTCCTCGTTGGCGAATCTTTCTTCCTCACACAATGGATTTGGAGCGGAGACAGCGGTGAGGCACAACAGATTAGCGACGCCAAACCTACGCAAACATGACGATAACTGGGAAGGCGTTGAAGGAAATTCTGTTGGAACAATAAAATCAGTTTGAAGCCCCACAATTGTAACTAATGGAGACCTTGACGCGGTAACTCACAACTCAATCGTCGAATTCCGCTCCAGATATAAATTCCGTCGACTTGATAGCCAACAGCATCATGGAGTTCCATTATGACCATGATGCTGGTCTAATCTTCGATTAGTGGACCAAACGTTATTAGGGTATTTTGGAAGTCGACCTGAAGCAGAAGGATGAGACTTGTCGAGTGCGCTTTAGAATCCGTCGACTGATAGCCAACAGCATCATGGAGTTCCATTATGACCATGATGCTGGTCTAATCTTCGATTAGTGGACCAAACGTTATTAGGGTATTTTGGAAGTCGACCTGAAGCAGAAGGATGAGACTTGTCGAGTGCGCTTTAGAACTATCAGTTGGAACAGTACAAACTTGTGGTGAGGAATGAATGCTATTAAGCTTGCACACAGGATGAAATGACAGAGTACCCAAATATTAATGGAATTCCCGAAACGATCGCTTTTGTAGAGCGCATCAACTCATAAGTGAGATCGTTTCGTCAGTTCACGAATATGCCCCTCTAGTAATGGCTTAAAGCCTGACAATCACTAAACAGGTTTCCTGCGTTGAACTGACACACTTCAGTTACAGAATGTAGGAATATTGACGGGATACGAAATACCCAGACGAATCGAAAAAATTCAATACGCAGACAAAGTTCATAAAATACACAACCTAAAAAGACTTCACTACAGCGGTGCACTGAAAACTGTGGTACTTTTCCTACGAGAAAGCACTCCAACCAAGGAGACCATTTGACATTCACCAAAACATCCGGACCATTTTGTGCACTTATCCTTTCGGTGGTGCTTCATCGACTGCCTACTGATGCTTTGTAAGTAGCCAAGATTCGGCAAATTTTGGTGGGGCAGTAGGTATCTACCGAAGGGCGGCAGAAAGCCGACTAGTTTCTCGCAAAAGCATAGTTCAGCGAAACTCCTGCTTGGTGTCCAGCCTGCAGCAACCGTTTCCGATCGGTCCAATCACCGATTACCGTTTTTTTTACCGCAGTTGGAAGAATCCGAGCTGGACACAAACCCACTAAGCGACGTTGTGTGAAATACTCCAATCAGGTAAGGCACGCATTTCCAAGGTTCATGGAACAAAATAGGGTTAACAGACATCGTCCATGCCATCTTAGATTATCCTATCCTGAAGTGTGTTGCGATCCAGTGCTACTTTAAGGGTCAATAACCAACATTTTTCTGCCACAGAAATTGTTCACCTATATACCGCGTGAGGGTCCCCACTCGCTGTTAAACTGAGAAGCCCATTAGAAATACAGCTTTATGCATTAAAAATAATTCTTCGAATGCAGTGCCATCATCGACAATATGTGATAATATTAGACATTCAAGCAGCGGAAGGAAGCTGGGGTAAATCTTGCCAAAAATGACAAAAGCTTAGTCGAAACTTTTGCGCAGTCCTACTTATGCTGCACCTCAATACAAAGGCACCATACTTGTTTTCGTTCATTTCAATGAAAATGGCATAGGACTTGGTCGCAGCTTAGACTAGTCAGGCTAAGCACCACACCATGACTCAAATGGAGGCCAAAGCACCAGTAAAAGATGAAATTACAAACGTAATGACCAGAGTGAAACCCTTCACTTTCTAATTCACAAAATAATATTCGAGCTTCATCAAGATACGAACAGGAAGGATACACTATTCAATTACCCAGAACGATTGGGAACTCGTGCAACGAACGAATAACACTTGTACTGCGCTAACGTAGCGGGGCTATCTGATTCAGTCTTTAGCAGTTGAAGGTACGTCACCATTTATGCCTGTGAGCTAAGCTTCATTCTTATGACATCGACTAGCTGAACACAATTTATACACAATAATTTGATGTCATCGCTCTGTTCACCTGGTGCATCCGCATGGGAATCGATTACAGTAAATGACACTGGAAAAATGTGTTCTGCATGAATATGTACACGTGCACTGATGTGGCCTGCATAATGAGCTCAAAAGTCAATGTGATATGTATGCGCATTTGCTGTTCAGCAGGGGTAATTAATGATCACGTAGCAACCGAATCAACTACTAGCTGATGTCCGAAGCATTCCGATGGAATAGGCGTGACCATTTTTTCCACAATGATCAATTCGGAGGGGGCGAACATTGAGAATGTGAAGACGCAGTATTTTCAACAAAACAGACTCAGACTCAAAGTGTGGACCGAGTTCGAAATCCTGTATGAACAAGTGAAGTGTTTGAACCTACATTAAGCGACCCGGCAAGCAGGTCCACCATGTTTACTCAATGACTAACATCTGTGAAGTGACCAGTTCCTTATACTATCGTGTGACAGGATCACGCTACGCTCTGATCGACCGCATGGACAATATGCCCGCAATTCTATTGGGCACATTCCAATTCGCACCAGATAAAAAGCAAACTGACGTCATTCAGGAGATGGAGCACTTTATCACAAGCTATTTCACAGACGAATGTCGGTGAAACATTCATCANTTATCACAGACGAATGTCGGTGAAACATTCATCACACTGAAAGGTCCTGCTACCCGACGCAAGTATGGTTTGTACGCAAACCGTAAGACTTCGGTGCTGTTACTTCCTACCCCGTTTACATATCGATCCCCGCATAGCAATCTAGCTCTGTGGCTAGTCAAACAGGACTTCGGCAGCAGTGTCTTTGCGTTTCAGAAGAATTGATGCACTCGTAGGGAAGAAAAGAATATACACCGAGACTCGCTGGGAAGCAGTTTGAACATCACAACCAATGTGATGTCAATTGCCCCGCGAAAACCGGTTCGTATTAAGCTGACCTTAGACCATAACAGCCGTCACGAAGAGACTGGACCTTACCGTGGTGTGGCGGTTCGTGTACCTCGGAGACCCATTGAGATATACTGGGGGGTGTCCGCGAGACACTCACAGAGTCTCTCATACCAGGTTGGTCAATGGTTAGGGGTCTGACCCTCCAGGTTGGGGGTCGGAACATGTATGGCCACTTGTTCCGTAGAAATGGTAACGCATTTGCATTTCCCGCCAAACACCGCTGCCTTGCGGTTAGGCTTTTGAGCCAAAGGCTTTGGTTTAGGACCCTAATCGTCCTCCTGTCTAGGTGTGGGCGCCCTGGCAGTATCCCAGCCCACGTACAACCATGAATTGGTACGGTAGTGAAGCGTCGGTGTTGAACACTGATGTCATGCTGTCAATGGTGATGATGATGATCAGGGTATGTCCGTCGCTTTTCGCGCGTACACATACAAACACACGACGCATATTCTGCAAATTCTAAACACCAATAATAATCCGGGTAGTTGGAGTCGGAATCAGATTTGCCGTTAACGTCAGTTGAGCCACTGGACGCCTGCGCGTGGTTGGCAAACCACAATCAATATGGAGGCCACGCGCAGATGTCCATGTAGACGTGTTCTGGTGCATTGACATGGATGAAACAGCTGTACAGTGCTTTTCGGTGTCGATTGAATGAAAGCTGGATAAGAAGCGTATCTTTTACTATCAGCAATAAGAAAAGAAAGAAAGAAAGCGTTCAGCTGTAACACCTTTCCGGTGCCTAGCTGTCATGCCACCACATTGAAATTGATCCCATTTACCAGCCACTAAGAGCGAGAGAACTCCAGAACCACCGAACTTAAAGCTGCAAAATCAACCAGACGAGGAAATCATAAGAGAAGGAGGAAAACATCATTCAAACGGACACATCAATTGGATTGGAGGAAGCGCCCAATCAAAGCACCAAATCAACCGACGGACGAAGGGACGCTGACCGCTACGGTGGAGGAAATAGGGCGGCACAAGCAACCAATCAAACTCAAGAACGTCAGACCACAACGCAATACAACCCGAGGCCGGAGAGAACGAACTACTAAAAATAAAAGGCGTGAGGGTAACCAGTCGACACAAAGGAACGCAGACCATAACGCGACAAAGATCACAAATGGACCAGTAGATTCATCAAATTTGTTACACTTTAAGTAGCCAATCACGACCGAAGATAACAGATAGCCCTCGAATTCTATATAAGCG